TCACCGCGGTACTTTTTATCCTTTAAGCTGAACGGCTGTAAAGAATTTCCAGTGGCTCCTCTTTGGCCACACTAGTAATGTAGTCTTATTACTCTGTAGCCAAAACTCATCCCTGACCATGAATTTCTAACTAAGCTTTGATCTCTTTTTATGCAATATCAGAAGTGGCTCACTAAGCCAGAAGATAGTATTTTTAAATAATTATACATTTACTTCTACTTTACTTCTAATTTCACATATGGTCTAAAATGATGATCCATATTTTTTATACACTTTGTAATTCAATAAAATTTCTGTAGGACATAATTATATTTTTGTAACTGGAAGGAGAGTATACTAGTATTTTAAAATAATATATTTTACACAAAACAAGCAATGCTTGTATCAATGACTACTCCCCAAGAAACTAAAAGATAAAAATATTATAGTAGGTAACTGGTATCCTTATTTTTTTTATACTGTAAACTTCGTTAAAGAAGTGAGTCTGTAGTTCAAATCTGTACCGATATATTATTACTTTAGTAAGTATTATTACTTTATACTAGGATAATTTGTCTTTTGTTGTACATAGAAGAACTAATATAAACAATGTATTTATAGTCAGAATTGATCTCTACGACTTGCCTGTTTTGGAAGGATACAAGCGTATGCTGACATATGCAGTGCTGGAAGGAAATGACTACGGTATAATTGCAATCTTGTAAACTGTGGTATTCTAAGGAGAAATGGTGTTTTTCTGTAAACGGCTCTATTCTATACGTACAGGATTCTGTAGAGTAAGACAATAAAACCAGCTGAGTATCAGTGAGGAGTTTCCGCTGCTGTACATTTCTGCAAAATGTGTTAATGCAAAAAATTGGGAATACCAGCCTACATAAGAATAATAAAATAAATGTTTACAAGGGAAGTAAATGGTCATACAGTTTTTCTTGACTAGAAGTGGATGGGTTAGAACATTTTTATTTGTAAATATTTTCTACCTGTTCAACAGAAGTTGGATTAAGTTCTCACCTAGTTGCATTTTTTTTTTCATTTGCTATGCTATGTACGTACAGGAAATCAGGTGGCTTGATTTAATGTAAGCAAGTAAAAACTGCTTAAATCAATTGTGGAAGACTGCAGCCTGTTGAGGAGCTGCAAACTAATATTTACACTGAATAATGCTATTCTGTAAAACAGTCACTCGCATGAGAACATAGGGAGAAATACCCTTTGAATAGCGATCAGCTCCGTTCAGTTTAGCAGAGCCAGATTTTGACACCCTCGCTCTTCCAAGCTTTTTCTTTGGCAAAAGTATATTCTATAAATGCTCATAATTTATAGGATTTTCATATTTACAATTATTTGTTTGAAATAAATTCTGCATTCAAATGAAAAAATATATTGGTACGGTGTTTATTTTTCACTTACTGTGAATGCCATCGATGGTTTAGGTAAAAAAAAAAATAAAATTCAGCATGTCCGTATTGTTGCCCGGTTGCTGCTGGCAAACAATGCCGTAGATTTAAAACAGGGCACCCAGCCTGGGTCCGTCAGGCGGCGGTAGGCAGCGGTCATGCTGCTGCCTGGCTCAGCCCTGCCTGGTGCAGAGGAAGGATGTGCCACCCTAGTGATGCCCATGCTGCAGGTCATGTCTTTACAGCAGACGTGTTAACCCCTTAGCAAGCCATATGCCTACAGCTCGCCTTGACGAGCCAACACTCCGTGTAAGGGCCAAGGGTAGTGGTTGATGAGTAGTTTTACAAGGTGTTGAGCTCCACGTGAAAATCACTTCAGCTGGAATTAGGCCTAAGTGGAGCCTGGCTGCCATGTGCAGTGTGACAGTGTGTGAGACTCACCACTGTCTTTAAACCTTAATTACTACAGCCAGTAGATGAGGTACCTGCATTCAGTGACACAGTCCCTCAGCCTGTTTTCAGAAGGAAACATGGTTTATGAGCTAAGGTGGTGTTTCCATCTAGATCTCTGTCTGCCCATTAGGTTGCTCATGTCCCCAGGCGACCTTTGACCTTTCTAACATCTCAATGGCATTTGAAAGAATGGACAGAAGTCTCATGGTTTCATCACAGGGTATCTCAGGCTGGGAGGGACCTCAGGAGGTCTCTGCTCCAAGGTTTCATCCAGCTGGGCCTTGAAAATCTCTGAGGATGGAGACTGGACAGCTTCTCTGGGCAGCTTGTGCCTCTGCCTGACTGCCCTCATCGTGGAAACATGTTACAGGCTGAGCCTCTTCTTTCAACTCGTGTCAGTTGTCTTTCATCCTTCTGCCCTGCGCCATCTCCTCAATGATCTCCCCAGGCGCACTGGGGCCTTCTGTAAGGTCCACGGCCTCCCAAAGCCATCTCTGCTCCAGACTGAACAAGCCCAGCTGCCCCAGCTGGCCTCACGAGGCCAGCCTCTCTTCACAATCCCCACCATCTCAGTGGCCTCCCCTGAATTTGATTCCGTTTATTGACGTCTTGTATTGGGAAGCCCAAAGCTGGATGCCATATCTAGGTGTGGTCTAACAAGTACTGAGTGGAGTGGAATAACGAGTCCCCTCAGCCTCTGGCTGTGCCCCTGTTCATACAGCCCAGGCTGCCGTTGGCCATCATTGCTGCCAGGACTCACTGACAGCCCGTGTCCCCCCTCATGGGGGCGACTTTATGTACCAAAAGAAATTATTACTTTTTTTTTTTAAATGTCTAAAAAAAAGAGCTCACACTAGAAAGCTAGGCAAACTTC